GTCCACAGCATAGTTCAACAGGTTTAATGAGCTTCAGGTATATCACTTTCCAAAGTGCCTTGACATTTTTCTGTAAATCCATATTTGTCTGTGAATTAAATACTTGCAATTCGTGTTTCGGCCAGTAAGCTGGACCAACCAAATATTTAAGTCCATATAATTAAGATAAAACCTTCATATTTTCCAAAAATTTGCCTCACTTAACTACAATTTTAGAGACTTGTCTAATACACCATTGTAAAGTAAGCTACACATATAAAAACAGGGACATCACCTAACATATGAAATGGAAACTTAGGTAACTGAACAAGCTTTAGGTCAGAGGACTCAAATCCCAGATGGCGTGACTGCTTTAGCCCTTCTTTATCAATCATCTCCTTAACACATTTCAAGTTAACCAAGTATTCATATGCTTTACTAGATCAGGGTCATCAGATTTCCTTTTTGGTATTGAATTTAAACATAGCTCCTGATGTTGCCCAGGTAACAGCACTATGGAACACTCACCTTTGACCACAGCAATAAAGGCTGAAGTCTTCCATATTTATTCACATAAATACAGATTGTGAAAGTCATATCACAACTTGTGACTGCTCTTTCATTTCACTATTTAAAGGATATATTAAAGAATTAATTTTACAACTAAACATTACACTGGAAAGGGCATGATTATAATCTGATGTTATTGGTTATTTAGTTCAGGTGAAGCCTTGGCTCCACACCAGAATCAGCAACAAAACTTCTAACAGTAGAGCTGCATTGTGCTAAATTAATCAGACTATTTCCTATGAACACAAGGCTCTCTACAATCATAGTGACCCCTTACTCATGATATGCTCCTTAGGACTTTTGATCCACTTTACTGCATGTAGACTTTCAACCCTGAAACAATTGCATGAACATCTGCTATCAGTTACTGATAGTTAGACAGTTAGAAAGTCTTTATGGATCACCTAGAGAGTTATTTCCAAATCCAGAAGCTCACAGGAGATGTAATCCTTCAAAATGCGGTTAAGTGTGGCATTCGTTTTATGATCAACACATAGAGAAGTGGAAAAGCTATGAATCCTACAAGGATGCAACAGTCATTATTTTGAAGTGGTCTATAAATTCTCAGAAGTTCTGCAAAAGCATGGAGATGAAAAAGATCTGAGTTTAAGCCTCACGTTATTTTAGCAGCATAGGCATCAAGATGCATGATCTTGTATTGGTTCCAGTGAGTAACTTGAGACTCCATAACTTGATCTACTGTGAAATTTTGTGAGCAGAGAAATCACTACAAGCAAATAAATGTGAAAAGAAATACAAAGTATTTCTTTTGAGTATTTGAGAAATACTCAAATAATTATGTCAACACACCTTACTGGTAGCAACACTCAGAGAACCTGTTGGAGAAAACACTAAAATAATATATGACTTTTCAATTTAATCAGAGTCCCAAGAAATCTCTGTAAGCTAATCCAAAATTAATCACTTGCATTACAGTAAAATACTGTCCCTTCATCTTAAACACTCACAAACTTCATATAGCTTACATAATTCTGAAACTTCTGCATCTGATTAAACATTTCTACATGGCAAGATGAGATGGTGAGATTAACTAATCTATTAATCCACTAGTTTCAAACCCATTTATTCAGAGGTCCTTATAGAAAAAGATGGACACAGAATTCTACATCCTGAAAATAACGTACAGACTTCTGTGTGCTTCTACTTAACAGAAACAAGAAATACAGTTTGATGTTCTATGTATTTTGTAGACTCTAGACTTCTCCTAAATAAGTACAGTAAAATTAAGACTTTGTGAAAGTCTAAATGCAAACACAAACCAAATAATCTATTAGTGCACATGTAAGGTGTTGCAGTCTTGTTAGCATCTGCCACTTTCTAGAATGAACAGACACATTGTTCACTGATTCACTCAAAGTAATGGTACAAATAATGTATTAAGTATAAACTTGACATGAGATAGTTTAGTATTTTCCACAACTTGCTCTGAAGAAATTAAACTATTAAGACTAGAACCAGAATCAATAGAACACTCACATTCCAGAATGTGACTTAGTGTGGTTTTTTTACCACATACATTTCATAATATGCAATATACTTTAATACTGTAACTTTTAAAGGATAACAAGGTATTTCTCAAAGTGATACACAGGAAACTACAACAGGAAAAATAAGTCTTCTGCTTTTTTCTTTTTCACCATTAATAACAGAATTGTTGAGAGTGGAATGGACCTCTAGAAATCATCTAGTCCAACTCTGTTGTTCAAAAGAGGGCAAATTGGAGAAGGTTTCTCAGGGCTATGTCCAGTCAAGTTTTGAGTATATCCAAGAATGGAAACTCCACAACATCACTGGGCAATTTGTTCCAGCATTCGATGACTCTCCCTGTAAAAATTTCTGCCTCATGTTTAAATGGAATTTCACATATTTTAATTTGCACTCACTGTCTCTTCTCTCACTGGGCACTACAGAGACGGGTCTGCTCTCTCTCCCCATCCATCAGGTATTTTCAGACACTGCTCAGACATTACTGAGCTTTCTCCCCTTCATGCCCAACAGTCACAGCTCTCCCAGTTTCTGCAATCCTTTAATCATCTTTGTGGCCCTTCACTGAGCTTGCTCCAGAACATCAATGTCAGTCTTTTACTGGCATGCCCAGGAATGGGCATAGCACTCCAAACGTGTTCTCGAGTAGTTATGTTACAAGGGACACACTGCTTCCCTGTGCTGGGCAATGCTGCTCCTCATGCAGCCCTGAGGCTGCTGGCTGCTGCCACATTCATCGTCTGTCTAGGTGGCTGAGGAGAGGCTGACTACTGGCCTGTAGTTCTGCATATACACCCTTCTTGAGGACTGGGTGGACATTCACTTTATTCTAGTTCTCAGGAACCTCCCCTTATCACCAGACCTCTCAAAGATAATTGAGAGTATCCTTACAATATTTTCCACTTCCTCAGCATTCTCAGGTGCAGCCTAGCAAATCCCACAGACTCACATATGTGATTATTAGCCCCAAACTTCACATTCCTGACCAGTTCTCCCTGGTTTGTACATATCAGGTCCAGCAAAGAGCCTGTGTTTCCCCTAAAGAGCCTGCATCCATTCATTACAGTACTGCAGAGATGTAAGCTATCCCACTATACCTCTGTAACTCCAGTGACATGATAATCCTGGAACTGATGTAGGCCTTGAATTCCTTCAGCATGACACCAAGAATTGTTTTCAGCTTTGTTACAAATAGCATCTTTAAAATAACCCAGTTAATACTGCTGTCCAAAAGAATAATTACATATATTAAAAAAGTTCAACAACGAGAGAGGAAAGGAAGAAACAATCTTATGCATTTTATTGGTATTGAGGTTCAGTCCCATTACAATTTATCTTTCCCTTTTTTTTTTTCTTTCACTAAAATGCAATATAGAAAAAAACATTAAAAGCCTGATTGGTCAACTAGCAGTAAACACAAAACCTGCTCACAAAAATGGGAAAAAAAAAAGGCACAAAGCAATTTGCTTTGGACCTATAACTACACAGAACTTCACATTTATGGCCCAGTTTGCTCAAGATTGTAAGAACATTTTTTCTGGACTATAACTTCTTTCTGCACAGAGATCCAACACAAGGGTTAATCTTGGGCTTAGAAATCACCACTGGTAAAGATGCATGTGGCTGACAAGATACAGGTCTCTTACTCTTCTTCATGGTAAGAATACTGTCTTCCTTTGGGGGAGGCACGTGCACTGGTTTCCAAGGAATGGGGTTACAATATGCTGGAGCTGGATACAAATTTCTATCAGCACTCCCTAAAACATTTAGAAAATAAATATAACTAAGAAGGAATATTTACACTACAAGTTTTCCAATGCAAGCAGTTATAATAATTATCTGGACTAAATACAACACAACGTCTTCAGAGAAAGACAGCACAGGCACATCACAAAATTTAAGTAATCCAAAATAATAAATATTCCACGTTTTTGTTTTTTAAACAGTAACTGGTATATTCTTCATCTTTGCTTAAAAAAATAAGCAGGTTGGATGCTCAGTCCTTTGTGTTCTTAAAAACTGTAAATGCCTACAAACTGGCTACTTTGTTTTACCCAATCACATGATGGATACACTTCAAAGTATGTAATACATTATACTGAACAAGACAAGTGAGTAGACAAGTATTTTTCAAAAATCATTTAAAGAAATGATTGCAGCTGTCAGTATGTAATGCAGGTCCAACCAAAACATAAAGGCAAGGTATATCACTATTTACAAATAAATGTAAGCAGAAGAGTAAAGGCTGTTCACCTGCTTTATACATGCTTCTTAAACATTCAGAGACCAGAATCTTGGTCTCCAAAACTAGGTCTGTTGTAAAGTCAAATAGAAACAATTATTTTAGTTGCATAGAAAAATAACATGTTTTCAAACAAAAAAAGGACTAGGATTACAGAAGCCAAGGAGGTGCAATGCAGGTGAAAAGTGAAATAGAAAGGAAATTTTAGCTTAGAATACAGGTTGATGCCCCTGTCTCCTTTTTCATACAGGACTTCTGTGAGCTTCTAATTGTTCTTGTGTCTCAAAACCCCACCTCTTTTCTAAGGGGGATTCAGGTGTGCTAAGGTGACACACACCTTCTGTAACAAAGATAAAATCTAACTTTAAAAGGATGCTGATATAAATAATTTGCTTCACTGGATCCAGTGAATTGCTCTAGTGATTCCTATGCCTGGTAAGAAAAAAATCAGATAAAATCATAATTTGGTATGCCACATAATTATCTCAAATACAAAATCCCAAATACAAAAAAGGCTAAGAAAAATACACAAAAGGTCTCAATCTGTTTCCCTGACTTATACTATAGTATAAGTAATCATTTCTATGTGCCAAAATTAGATACTGGGTGAATGTCTTAGACAGCCTTCATTTCACATTAGAATATTAAAAGGAAGGAACCTCAAACCGAAGTCACTACATATTTGTGTACTATATGTACAAACCTGTAGACTTCCCATGTGGGAAACCACAACCATTTAAAGCAGGCTGTGGTTTATTTCTAGCATTTTGCAGCCATTCCTTGAAGATTTTCTCCGATCTTGTTCTCTTTTCCTGTAGCTCAGCCTCCCGTTGTTTTTCTTTTTCCTAAAAATAAAATAAAATTAAGGTACTCCTAGACAAAGCCCTGTAAATATTTTTTGCATATTTCCAGGCTGCTGAATACATTCAAAATATTTCTTCAAATCCAAGCACGTTTTCCTAACAATGGAAAAGATGCTTTTTTTGGTTTCAGTCTGAAAAAAAACCCAACAAACGCCCAACCTATATGTTACTCCAGTGTTTCCCTGAGAAAACATCAAAGGCTATTAACAAAAATGTGTTAATATCCATCTTACTTTGCTGACCATACCACAGTGTCTTTAATGCACTAACATTGCAACTCTTGAAAGATTTTTCTTCATGTACAACACTGCCATTTGATGCCAATATATTCAATGTAAGATTGAATATATCAAATCTTAATCTGTAATAAATTACAGATTAAGTAACCCCATCCAAATAAATAATCAATTCATTAATACCTTCTCTTTTTTCTTCTTTTCTAGCTCTTCAGCTCTCTTCTTCTTTAACCACTCTTTATACTTTATGTCAGCCTTTTCTCGTAACTGCATTTTTTCTAGTTCTCTTGTGGCTTTTTCTGCCATTTCTTTGCTCACCTTTCGTTTCCTTTCTCTTCTTTCCTACATGAAACATATCAAATAAACAGAACAAAAATTTTTTAGTATATTTCAATGAGTGATTCTTCTGAGGAATATAGTTAATTTTTTTATACAATTACAAAGAGAATTATCATAAACTTGAAAAAATATGTGATATTGTAAACTCTCTGAAGTCAGAACCTGTTCATCGCTAGATTCCAGGTATGATAGACAAATGAACTTGTCAAAAGAGATTATAAAAATTTTACTTTCAGGTCTCCTCAAGTTTGCTACTCTGTTTTACTTATTCAGATTTTTTTAAACACTTCAGACATATCTCAATATTTCTGGGAATGAAATACATGTTGCAATTCTCAACAATGGTGTGTTAGCTTTACTTGTCAGTGAATCTAGAGCAAACTACAGGTCCAAATGGAAGTCAGGTAAACTGCCTCCTTCAAAGAGTGATTGAGATACGCAGATTGTTCAGCACACTTAAGCATCAATTTATAGGAAAAAGAAAAGTTCACATAAAAATCCAGTTCATGTTTTGTGGTATTCTCTTAAGTTTTTTATGATCTTTAGTTTATTCACATACGGACTATTTCAAAAAATCAATCCACACATTTCTCCCATTCAAATTATGAAAGGGAAAATGAGAAAACACATTCCAGGGTAGGCAAAATGGTAACTTGAGTGCGAAGAGAAATGCTGCCTGTATGATTTGGAAGACAGAATACATCAGAGGTGTCATGCACTTCTACATCTTTTCAGTGTGTGTGTATCAAACAACAATGTTCTGAGGATCTTTATCTAAGCAAACAACCATGCACCCACTGTCCATTTCTTGATCTGTAGAGGGACGTATTTCAATTGAAGAATAACAATAGCTCTCATTCCTTGTAACCTTCATGAAGTGTCTGGAATCTGCTGATGTGATACTACTTCTGCTTAGCTCAGCTCTGAAGCAACTGCATACACATACAGAAGCAAAAATCTACTAGACAAGCTGGGCACATGACTTGGAGGAGAGGCACAAGACTTAAGACCAGTTTCCTTTTAACAGAAAAGAGCTATTGAAAAAATATGTTCTTTTCCTTTTAAGAAATCTTTTACTTATACACTTCCCTGCACACTCCTCTTGAACAAAGAAAATATGTAATTTAGTAGGAACTAATACTGTAGGACTCAGAATTATTACAGTTGGCAGTATGGGTATCAAATGCCTAGAACTACAGCTGCAAAGTATAACAAATAAAGAAAATACAAGAAAAAACACATTCTCAAGAAAACCAGAAATATATTCCCATCCCCATTTTACCATTATATATTACCATTTTTCCCATTAAAAGAACAAAAAGACAGAAAACTAGAGCTCTCCTTGTGCATCCCTCTCCCATCTTTTTCCCAGGTTTACTGCACTTAGGAAAGTCCAATTATGCATAATGAAGCAGAAGCCATAATACTGCAACTGGGGACCACCACAATTCCTTCAGTCTGGTCTAAACAGGATACCTGCTGGTTCAGTGCTTGTCTCCCCACACCAAAACTACCAACAATCCAATAAAGTAGCACATAGAGAATAAAAACTTCAGCTTATATTGCTCTGCAACACACTTACCTCATTTGTGCCAGGAAAGAAGCCAGTTTACAGAACTGCCTGAGTTAGTGTGTCCTGTTCTGTTTGCCAACACCAGAGGCATTACTACAATTTTAACATCAGCAGCTAAACGACACACTGTGGGATTTCTCCCCACAGCACCCCACCCATCTCCCTTGACAAGCTATGCTTTATTAGCTCTATCTACCATAATCTCCAAGGTGGATGTTTCTTCACCTAAAATCATAAGGATACTTTCAGTAGTACTGCTCTTGTCAAATATTCTTATTTGAGAATAAAGACTTCTTTGTGTACACAATGCACACAATTTCACAAAACAATTGCAACTAGCTTTTAATGTCTATTTTCTATTTTCTCCTTGATTTTTTGTTGTTTAGTGGGTTTTTTTCTATTTCACTTCTAACATATTCTAGTAAACATAAGCATAATCTGTTTTGCAGTGTAGGGAAAATGATCAAGCATGAATACACTCCAATTTCAATGCATATTCCAGAATGTAGAACTACACAGAATTATAAAACAATCGGTCTCATTAATACAACTTCACAACAGCGAGGCCTATACATGTGGTAAAACTATTTACAACCAACACTAATGAAAAAATACATTTCATTCCGGGAACTAAAAAAAGCTGGAATTCTGGAATGTTTTTATGCTAACGAAGCATGGAAACAAGATCTTTCCTAACATGAAACAAACACTTCCATATTTTAAAATGTTGAAAAGAAAAAAGAACTTATTTTTGGCAAATTACTCAAACATCACCTTCTCGAAAAAAACAAATAACCAATTGTCTAAGCTTTCCCTCCATCTTCATGTAAAATTCATCTCCATCTCTTTTATTCAGAGCTGTTTCTCTGTCTTTTCATTACTAAATACTCCCTAAATGCACCAACAACTCCAGCTTTGAGACAATGATTGTCTGGGATACATAAAAAGCATTAATGTAGCTGAGAGATATTTGTGAAATCTGAGTTAAACTACGGGAGAAGGTGGCTTACAAATATTTCACACATTTTATTGTTTGCTGACTTACCTCTGACATACATGAAATTAAGTTACAAAACTAAGGATCATCCAAAACTACAGTCTTTAGCTAAGGTTCATGCTGTATAAAAGACATGAAAATAAATATAGGAGGGAACTGAGAAAACCTGGGCTACTTCCATACCTAAGGGAATGATTCCATAATGGAAAACCATTATAAGCAGAAAATAGACTAAAAATCTTTCTAAATACTATAAAAGAAAGGCAGGAAAGCTTCTTAAATTATGTATCTTAAATCACAATACTTAGATGAGTTCAGCTACCATCTAGGCTGATTCAAAGTTAAATTGGGTCCTATGTAAACAAATAACATGCCATACACACTGCCATGAAAGCCATAACTATTGCTAAGTTTTACTTCCAGTGAGACATCCTTAAGACAGGGAGACTCCATTCAGAATTGCAGACCTTACACTACCCAGACATTTTTCTGCAGAGAAATCAGAAATGCTTCCTCTTTCTCTCACAATCAAAACAGATTCTCCTCCATAAAGTTAGCGTACACCACATTCCCAGCTGCTTTAGTAACCTGCTTTATGTCAAGCTTTTGTCACCCTGACCAGCTTTCCCAGCTTTTCTCCCATCTTCATTATAAAAGTCTATAAAAAATGCTATGAATGTGCATATTAATGTACATGTTCTTCACTCCTTTTACTTTCTTTCCATGTATATGTGAGGGAAGAAATTATTTGTTTATGCTTGGTGTTGTTTAGATTGGGTTTTAAAAATTCTCTTTGATCTTGTGTTCAAAACAGTCACAATCTACTCACTAAACCACTAGTAAATTTACATACACTAAAATATGATTGCAGGTATTACATAAATTAAGGTATTGATTGTAAAACATCCAATTACTTACTGCAAGAAAGGCTTGCTCTCCTGCCACCCTATCCAAGCACATAATGAAGAAGAAAGGATACAAATCTACCCTGAAGGTTCACCCCTCTGTGTTGTGATCCTATCAAGTCTCAGAACCTAATGAAGTCTGGGTTAGGTTGGTACTTGAAAATCCCCCACCCAACCCAAATCCATCTGTCCCACAAAACACTGATGGTGACTCTGTTCACAGCATGTGTCTTAGTCGGTACCAACTACTAACTTTACAAGAAAAATCAGACCTACATGCATGTGGTGAATGGGAAAGGATTTTAAAATTTGAAGAAGCGTCCCACTTCCTTCCTGACAGAAGACAGAAATATTAAATAATTTTCCACACAGGAAAAAAAACCAAACCCTAATTGCTTTTGAAACAGAGGCATTATATTCAACTGGAAGAAAACTAATAAAATATGTGTCTCTGTATTTTCACATCAATGACTCAATGAGAGGCTGGAATGTGTGAAGTGCAGAGGTGCTTTCTGTTCTGCATTTTCTATGGAGACTGTCACTGAGTAGAAATAATTCCAGAAACTAATGATGTGATTGATATTTTTAAGATACTTCTCAAAGTAATCCTTTCCATCTTATGGTCTGCAGAACAGTTTGTGACAACAGTTTTCTTTCCACAGGTAAATGTTTTCACAGCTGTTTGCTGACATCTTAGCTAGCACATTCTAGCATCAGTTAATGCTGACTGATGGCAAAATATAGGAAAAGCCCACATTGCCAACATTAGAACACATATCCAAATGTTTATCCTCATAGTAATCGTGGACATCAGCCTCTTTTAGCAGTCTTGGAAATCTGGGTCATCCAAACAACTGTAATGATATTTCCAATTTTGCCCTGTAAAACAGCTCAGTGGCCAAGCCCAGTCCACCCAAATACTTCTTTAATCTCTCCAGAATTTCCACGTGAAAACAACAAGAGGCTAGAAAAGAGATCAACAAAGGTTTGAGCTGCAGATATCTCGACAAGCTGTTTTGTATCAATTTACTGCTGAAGTTCACACAGTCAGTGCAGATGCCACTGAAGTCTGGGAACTGGTGAATTACTGGATCTTTCTCCCAGATGGTGTTCATTTCACATGGGGACTCAATGTATGTGACAAGCATAAAGTTTTCTTGTATTTTATTCCTGGAACACTTTTGCGATCTTCAGAAGAATGGGGACCCCATGAATGTTGCTGAAATACATGAGCACTCATATGAGCACCTGTTACACTGAATTCCTCTTCCAAAACTCTGTCTAAAACTCATTCTAACACTCATAAGAAATTACTTCATTCTACTTACAGAAATCTAAAGGAAATTAAGATTCAGGTACAATCTAAAATTATAACCATGGCATTGATCATGCATGACATCACAGAGAAATTCTGTGTAAAGACTTTTCATGTCCAGAGAGTAAAAGACCCACAATATGCAAAAAAAACCAACCAAACAAAAAAACCAACCAAAAATCCTTAAGAAATTAAGTCCAGACTCAAATAAAATTTAGATATGTAAAGACAGACTTAGGTATGTAAACAGAAAATTTTAATTCTTAAATGCAGTTGGTTCTCATGATTGGAAAGCATTTCTACCAGAATCTTCCCTCACAAACACACTTCTTGAAAAGGTTCAGTCTTAATAAAAGTGGACATTTTTGCATCTCTTTCAAGTCTAAAATGCCAGCAAAAACCATAGTACATCAGGCTCTACATTAGCAGCCAGAGCTTTGACTCAACAACAGTTCAGCTACAAGAACATTAATCTAAGCCAAGGAAGATCTGGATTTCATTACATTTCTGCCAGAGGAGATTCCAACTAACATGTCCCCAAGCTGTAGGCTGGGGTGACAGGATTCTCCACTTCTTCTGTGGTAGTGGTACTATTCCTCACGAAATAATTAACAACTCATTGCATGAAAGAAAGAGAGCATCAACAAGCATAGCTTTTAAACTTAAAAGTCATGCTCAAGCTGTTGAACAACCTGTGCTCTATATTAACCACGCTGAGATAAAATACATATTAAATAAAAAGTCTTTGGTGTAAGAGTTGGCATCTAGGTGTCTTTTCTGGGAGGAATTAGCACACCAAAAAGAGAAGTCTGTTCCAAGAACACATTCATTACTACATAGTGTGCTGGTTCTAGGCTTTCATATACTTATTACTGCTTTTTTTGCTTCTCATAAAGACTATCAGCCAACAGCACAGCAAATGGCAAGAACAACATTTTCAATGAAAAAGCATTCAAACAGAACTTTTCCACCCTGTACCTAGTTTCCATTAAAAATTATGGTTTTCAGTAACTAAAGGGGACTTCTTGAAAAGAAAAGAACAATAAAAACAGTTGAACATCCAAATTCTATTTTTAATGCCTGCTTGGTCAAATTTACTTTTAAGGGGAAAAAAAAGAAGTGTTATCTTATTCTCTATTCAACAATGCAGAAAGCAGTAGAAATGCTACAGTCAATTTTAGATTGGTATTAGAATAATTGGTTTTTCCAATGGAAAACTGTAACTTTACTACTTGTGTTCTTACAACTCTGCTAGGTATCACATTATTACAGCACAAAGAATTACATGCAAAGACTAAACACAAGGATGTTAACAAAATTAGTTTCAGAATTACAGTTATTTTGGAATGCAAGTATTCCTCTTTGGTAATTTCTGTTACTGTTGCAAACATAAGCATAATACATATAGTGACTTTCGGTCTGGATGGAGTTAATTCTCTTCATAGCAGCTCCTGTTGTGCTATGTTTGGATTTGTGAACAAAATAGTGTTTGTTGATAACACACCAAGTTATCACTAAGCAGTGCTTACAAAGCTTCGAGATCTTTTCTGGTTCTTATCCCACCCCAACAATGTGTAGTGTGGGGGTGCACAGAGTTGGGAGGGGGCACAGCCAGAACAACCCAAGGGACATCCCAGACCACACTGCTCAGTAATAAAAGCTGGTGGGGTCTCAGCTCCCTCCTGGAGCTAACCCACAACAATATATAATATAAATATTTATATGTACACACACATATACATACAAATTGAATACTCACGATATTTTTAAGTTCGTGTTCTACTGACATTGTAAAAATGAAGTAGATTTGCAGAGTCAGTAAAGGTGGATTAAATATGATTTGAAGATACCATATTAGATTGTAGAAGGTAGACTGCACTGCAAGAGAGTTGATTTTTTAATATGTGATCAAAAAGCTGTTGTCAGCAGGCCTGACCTTTAATCCTAGTATTTTATTCAGCAATAATTCATAAGACATTCTGACTGTGGTGACAATGTTTAAGAATTAAACAGTCGTGGCAGTTTACAGGCTCTTCACAGTTCATGCATTCACAATGCATTTCTCAAAAGCTTTTCATACTTTGATTTAATCAGTAATTCCACAATTACAGGTATCTTACTAAAGTGCTCAATCCCATGATGATAGGAATGAAAAAGACTTTATTATAGGATCAGAAGTTCACATAAAACAGGAACTGAACACCAAACTTACTTGGTCAGAATTTATAATCATAGCCACTTCATTTTTATCAATAAATCTAACAGTAACTCAGAAATAAAAGTTTTAGTTACATAAAAAATACTGTTATGTTCATTGTTACTTCTTAGAGTAATTTACTTCTTAGAGTAATGCTTAGAGTTATTTTAGAGTTAAAATATTTCAGTTGATACTTGCTAAAATGTCAACAGACAATTTACTGTTTCCCACAAATGGCTCAACTTAAGAAGGAGAGAAAGTGAGACTATTTTTGTCCAGGAGTGATCCAGTATCTTACTGAAAATTGTAAGGGTGTGATTAGGTCCAAGATAGTGCATAAAAATTGATTTTATTAAGTTTTTAATTCCTAGTGAGCTGAAAAATTTTGCCATGAACAAATGTTTGTATAAACATATTTCATGGCTTAGAATGTTCTTTGATGGCTCATATTTCAAAATATTACTTCTAGTTCCTTTACAACCTTTAAGAACCACAAAAGCGATTTATATAGAAGAATACTAAATAGCTAGGATTCCTTTATTTTCAAAAATAGTTTCTGTAAAATTATTAGAAGCATAAGAAAAATGTGAGAGCATATGATTTTTAATCTATATTAAATAATAAAAAATCCAATAATGAACAAAAACAGTGTTCAAGCTTTGCTTCCTAACCTCACTGTAAGGACTAGATTTAACTATACTTAAGTTAGAGAGAGCATCACAACTAAAACTGCCATGCAAGAATACTGGTTTGACAATCAGAAAGCCAGAATTCTTTTATGCATACACAAACACTTTATTTTTGACATAAATGTCTCTCATATTCACAGCTTAAAGACCCTTCCAGCAGTGTCTTCTGGTGCTGGATGCTCAAAATGAAGGAGGAAGTTTCATGTGTGCTCAAGTGTGCCTTATGTTCTTTATCACTACAATACTGAGCAATGGAAAAGGACTTGTGGAGATTACAGAGGTAAGATACCTGAAAGTACTGCCTCTTGACAAATAAAGCATTTTCTGCACTCTACACACAGGGCTCAGAATCAATAACTGAGTTTGAAAAAGCTGAGTGCTTAATGCAAATTTCAGTAAAAAAATCTGCAAGTTTTGCCTCAAGAAGCATCTTGATACTCATTTGATACTTCTATGAGGAAATGAAGTGTTTTCTAAACAGGAGATATACACATGCTCCCCAAGAAAATTTTATCAACTGTCAGTGCTCATGACTCTTACTTTAAATGCAGGTGAAATCTTGACGCAACTTTAAACACCTCAGTCTCTGAATTGACATATTTATCCTTTAGTCTGTGTCCAGATCCACAAATAATATTGTGGAAACTTGAAGTGGGAGAGTCTACGCAGCACAAATGTTAATATTCTGTGGGCAGCTAAGCTTTTAAATTCAGTTTATCCTTGATTTGAGTGTGCGTTATAGGTAAGACTAGCTAGTGAATCATCTGATTTAAATGAAAAATCAGCTTACTTTTCTAAACACTTGGGGCATGCTCGAAGGATAACCCTATGCTTCTGAAACATAATATCATTAAGTCCAGACACAAGCATGTTTTTTCTCCTGTCCTCTGGACAGGTGTGATTACCATAGAAAAGACCTGCTAACTCCACTGACAACAGAATAGAAATTGTTAATCAGTAAATCCACAAAGTTCCAATGAAAACCCAAATAAGTAGAAATTTATGGAAGTTGAAGGAAGTGGTAGGGATAGTGAGGAGGAAACAAAAGGAAAACTTCTGGAACTATTTTAAAAGGCAGACCAACTCCTTCAAGCCAGTGAATAGCTAAAGACACTCAGAATTTAATTTTCATTCAAATTTCATTTTGGAAGAGGAAAATGGAATTATATGTGCAGAATAATAAATCTTTTTCCTGTGTACTTTAATTAGGAATATAAATCATGATAAATTAATAGAGCAGGATTGGTTCCGCAGTGGGTTTCTGCCAATTATCCAACCAGCATTAAGACTAAGATTAATTAGGTTCAATCCAAATATATGTTATTCTTGTGGCTCTAGGCTGAATCTCAAGGAGTTCTAAAATTGTGAGAACAAGTGTAAGAGGTCTGCCCATCCAATCCAGCTAGTGCTATTGGGATGTTTATAGTGAATTTTCATCTGATTTTATTCAGAAACAGAAGTACAGAACATTAAACAGCTGGTATAGCTACAGGCCATAAGGCAATGAACACATGTGCCCACGAAGTAGCAGGGGCTGAGCACACCCTACTCTCCCAAGCATTGCCACTTCTGCCATCCAGGGCAGATGCTGTGACACAGCTGTAACAGAGCCCCATTGAGATCATCATCTGTTTCTGACTCTGCACTCAGGCACTCCCTCAAGAGAGCTTAAAAAAACTTCTGAATCACCCAGAAATTAATTACTGACTAAAAGAATTCCCAATTACTAACTGTGGTCTACTGAGAATTGCCTCAATCTGGCTCCATACCTCAATTATCCCTTCTATACCATAGCCTACGGTAAATACTCTTTGCCTGTCCATGGTGATATTTAACTAAATCCTTCTTCTGACTCTACTTGGTGTACAAAACATTATGCAAGTCAAGATGTACACTTAACCAAAAATGTCTGGGCACTGAACCTGGGAAGTCTGGGAACATTAATGGCCAAAACCCCAGCTATACTCAGCAGAAGGCTACTGCACAAGATGTACACCAATTGTCAGTTACCTAACTGCTCAGAAAACAAATCCCTTTGTACCTTACAGAAAAAAAAAACAGCCTTGAAAAAAAGTGTAGCTGCTTTGGCATGTTGTTATAATTTTCAATTAAAGCAGCCATTTACTCAGCAAACTGAAAACATGGATGTCCAAACAGACTGAGTAAATTTTACATAGGCTTACTCAAGCACGGCATGTACTAGGATATTTCCAGCCAAAGCAGTATTTACCTCTTCTCTTTTTTTTTGGACCCATTCCTTGTGTTTCTCTTCAGCTATCCTTTTTCTTCTTTCATATTCTTGATTTTCCTTCATTTTCTCAAGTTGTTTATTCATTTCCTAATTACAGAAAAAGTATACATTTCAAATCTGTGGTGACCATTTACAGCAATACTGGCAACAGTGTTACAGTTAAAACAATGTGAGCATTACATTCTGGTATTTTTCCTTCATTAAGATTTTGGAGAAGAAGAATGGCAGTCAATACAGAAATACTATGAAATACAATCAATGAAAATGTATAATTTTTAGGATATTAACTGGAAATACATATTTTAATTAGGCTTTGGAAGCAATTAAATGTATTAAATCACTCCTCAGTTTACTGAAATACCTTTTTAGTCAGCAGATTCTTAATTTGTAGCAGTACTTTCCTACACTATTTAAAATTTACATTGTGTACTGCTCTGCACTGTGGAAGGTATCAAAAGCTAAGCGAAATATTATTCACCAGTGATTTTTAGTACCACAACTGCTAGAACTTTAGGGCTTAACTCAAGGCTTACTAAAGCCAAAATTATTGCAGATTCTAGCAGATTTTGAAAAAAGTGTTTTATTTTGAAGATAAGAAAATTCAAAGCATATTTATATGACATACAGTATATATGCAATCATTTGTATCTCTCCAGTGAAGTTAATAAAGAAAAAATATAACTAAGGAGACAATTTGAGATGTCTAGCTTCTCCAGCAGTAGCATTAACACAAAGTGTTAATTTTCAATGAAAATTCATACCTTCAAACACAGACAGACGGAATTATTTCTATGAAACTGACTTTATGGTCCCTACAGTGGAGTCAGTGTCACAGAGAACCCCCTTTTCTTAGGACATGGAATTTCAGTTTAGTAGGACAGCAACAGAAGCTTACAGAAAGCTCAAACACCCACAATACGGAGATAGTTTGAAAATACAGTTGTTGCTGCGTTGAGGCAAAGTTATAGCAAATAACATCTCTTGAGTTCCAAGACACCTATACTGCAGGGATCTCAGTATCTGTAAAAGCTGATGGCACTGTAAGCACCTTGGAAGACCCAACCTAATTCCACTCCAAATTTAATCCACATTTTTGACTTTGAGGGCAGACTCAGTGCTAATGTCAGCAAAAGATCTGGGACTACACAGTTGTTTCTCAGGATATCAGTTTAAAACACTTTTAATATGTAAATGTAGCAATTTTTTTAATATAAATATCACATATTTCATTCTCTTCTGGCATCTTACAAAAATGTTGATTATATCTTCCCCCCAAATATAAGCTTTTCACACTGTCTTGCTGCAGTTTAACATCTAATGTTTTCAAAATCTTACCAACTAAGAACATTTACCTACATGACTATTCTCTACACAGCTTTAAGAAATGCTTGTTCTATGACTGTTCTTAATGCTTAGTTGAGAGATATCTGCTAGCTTACATTTCCATTACCAATCCAGAATATAAATGGGAAGTCACAAAATGTTTGGTGGATGGGGATTAACGGATCAAAGCATATTCCTCAAATTTAACAAACTACTTTGGTGTACTGCTGGCCTGTAAAATTCTGCTCCTGAACCTTCCAGTGGTAGGTATTTTATAAACAACATGAGGTAGCCCACATAAAACAGTTGTATGCTATATTCACTTTACAGATAAACATAGAAAGGCTAGAAAAACATTCAAGGTCAAATAGTTACATCAGTAACTAAAGCGAGAAATTATCTAATTTTGATGTGATTGTTCTAATCACTACCCAATACAACCCATTTGATTTTCAACAACAGTAGAATTTAACCAAACTGCAACTACAGAGTAATCAAGAAAAGACAGAGTGCTCTCACTTAATTGTATGCCAGCCCTGGTTCCCAAGAACTGTTCATCTGCAAGGGGGCAAAAGATAGAATGAAGGGGAAAAAAAAAAATTTTGTAACAGGGATCCCTATCCTGGGAAAGGACACCAAACAGTTGTAAAATTATGTGCTAAGTGGGTAACAACACTGTGCCTCAAAACTAACCAAGCAACTTGGCACACTTAAAATCAGCACACACCCCATTTTCATCTACAACTTACATGCAGGCTTACATACTCATGATGAAAATCAGGACAGTAATTATATAAATGTTTTAATATTCCAACATCGAACCATTACCCAAGAGTTGGATAAACAAAATATTATACAGCACCAGTTCAATGAAGCAGAACATGTAGCAAAAGAAAATGCACACAACATGAATCACACCAGCACTGACAAACACAAACACAATGGAGGCCTAAGACACCAAAACAAAAAACAAAAACTACTTCTGTTCCTACAACCAAGGAAAAGAAAATCCTGAATCTGCTATCTTCTATTAGACTTAAAATAACTGGATGTAATCACCTCTGCAGCTTTAGCTTGTAAGCGGGCACGCAACTCCTTCTCTTTGCTAATGAACCATTCTTCCCATGGTGAAAGGTTATCTTTCAAAAGTGACACTCTTCTTCCCCCTGCTACTTCAGAATGTTCAGCCCTCCTGAATTAAAAACAAGACACATAAGAGAATATTATCTATAATGTATTTGATTGAAAAGTTCAACAGTGTTATTGTCCTGAAAAAGTACTTTTCTTTTATGGCATAATGTGACAACAATGACAATTTTTCTACTTGCTCAGTAATATCCCTAATGAATAAATAGCATTTATAATGCACCTCTGACCATCCCACTTACAGTCTACATTTTACTTACTAAATTCTAGCTTGTTAATGATTCTAAACTGTGGAACAGATTCAAACATTACCTTTTTTGAACTAAACAAAAAGAATACTCATAACATGAAAGTGTCACTTTCCTTCTCACACATAAGAGCCAAGGAAAAAGAGATTTAATATTAACATCCTATCCTTGATCACATGAAACTCCATGTATCAAGTGGTCTTTAGCAAAAGCAAAGTAAAAGCAAGAATGTTATTTTCTTTGTGCAAGTTTTGTTCAAGTGGATTCATGGTATCAAGCAACTTCAGCATTACGAATCTGTTCATTATGAATCCATCCATTCAATCCAGTCAGTTTTCCACCTTAAAACACTTTCACAGGAAATGTGCTTAAGAAATGCAGCTAGCATATGATACTTGATGGTATTATACAGGGTTCTATTTGACATTTAATAGGATGTCTTATATAAGTCACTCATAATTTCTTTACTCATGAATAATGCAGCAATCCTAGCCCTAGGTCAGAAATATCTTTTATAATATTCTGTACACGTACTATTTCAGAAGTAACACAGTATATTAGGGTCCAAGTCAGCAAAATTTGAAAACATGTCAAGAGATTTCTTTAAAAAACTTCTATCTGCCAGCCACAGTATTTTTTCTTCAGAACAAAGCAATGAAACTAGACTTCACTTTACTATTTCATATGGATGTACAGGTTCTGGAGATAACTACCTACATACATACTTCACTACAGTGAGGAATTCTGTTTGCTGAATCTAAGCTACAGAAGAAGCATCCAACAAACATATTATGCTAATGCTCCAGAAATCAGTTTTTTAAATGTATGATATCTGGATTTTATCAATATAAAAGTACAACATATTCACAGGACACAGCAGTATGCCAATACTCAATTGCACATTTTCTGTCCCAGTCATGTTTAGAATACATTTTTGTGGTAGAAAGCATTTGGAAACAATGTCAGTGCTATGGAGCTTTGTCCTACTCTCCCCTGTTGTTTTACTCATATGTGTTTGTGCTAACAGGACTGTTTGCTGGTCAAGTCAGGGTAACTCATTTACACAGAAACCTACCTGGAATGGGTTTATATCCCCAGACAAATCCACTTTTACAGTGTGAAATGCAGAATAACAGAACTGACAGGGCCACGCTGAACGCACAGACAATGCAAGGACAGCAGCAGCACAGACCAAACACTCGCCAAAACCCAGCACAGTCCAACACATTCTGCTGCACTCTAGGGCTTTAATGCTACAGCATTAATAAAGATCAAAAATTATAACAGAGACAGCTTTTAAACACATACATATAATAAGAGATGCCACTTAAGAATGCCTAATAAAACATTTTGTAACAAAAGAAGTCTCTGAAAGTTTATTAAAGGATAAAAGTATTATACATTGACATTCAGGAAAAAACCCCATCATTTTGTACAGACTTGACATTTTGGGCAGGGATACCTCCTCAATACATTCTTTTGCTTTGCATGATTTGCATTATGGCACCTAGTGGAACATGACTGACAAATTAAACCAACCTTAGAAAAGTACTAGGAGAATGAATAAATTAAGAAAAAGAATATTTATTATGTCTTTTCTTCTATCAGTACTCATGAAATTCAAGTTGTCAACGTCTCAAAAAAGTTATTCACTGTAATAGATTAAAAACTTACTGTAGACAAGTAAGAAATAACAGAAATGAAGCTTAAACAGAGGAAAAAACAAGCTCAGTATTAAGACCTGTTAGGAGAAACACTTCAATACTGCATCTAAAGCTCTCCAATTGCACCAGAACCCAGTCTTTCTTGATGTGCATTGCAGCCACCAGTTACACCCTCCCTGGTACACCAACCATGCATTTTAAACCACACAGACCTTTAATTTCACAGGACCATTTTCTGAAATTCTAGCAGTCATAAACTTCTTCAAAATAATTAAAATAATAGACTTCTTAAAATACCCCATTCTCAAGTGCACATTTATTTCTAAATAAGTATCTTAAGTCAAACTAGACACATTTGGCATTAGACCTAAGTCTGATTAACAGAAAACAGTGATTATCATTTGCTGCATATTCACTAAGATCACACCATCAAACATAACACTGGATCCACAACGAAAAGTATGAAAATACTAACACCCATTAACAAGGCCTTGTTTTCACCTTTTCTGTTTTGCAGATATTGCATTTCCCACACTGAGTATCTGCCTCACGCTAATTTTTGTGTAGTTTTAAAAGGACAACACCACAACCACCAAAAGGATTCAGAGTGCATGTGTACATGGGAGGCTACATAAGAAGTAGTATTTATTATTGTACTTATGAGATCTTGGCAGTTATACACATATGAACACTTGGTAGGCACTTAGTACAAAACAGCAGCAGTGTTACTCAGAAGCAGTGTCTGCATCTGCAAAGCATGTTATTTTGCCCACGGTTTAGTAAGACAGCCAAATCGGGCCCTAAAAGAGGCTGTCTTCAGCTGCATCTCATTGCTGCCAGAGAATACTGCAGCAACAGGCCCAGGAATTGGGAGCTGTTTCAAACAGCCTCGAAGCTGCAAAGACGTGCTGTAGCTCGAACAAACTGCAACAGAACTTCAAGGTGCATGAACAAAATTGCTTATTGGGAAGTAGTATACAGAGAGGTAATAGAAAAACTGAAAGAGAAGGGACCATAAACTGGCTGATCTCTTCACTCTGAAGCTTCTGACTACATTTGAACTCTCTCCCTGGACTTTTAACACCTTTTTCAAGAAATGCTTTTAGGTAAAGTTGAGTGTGGTACTTCACTGGTCTCCATGGAAATTTGAGAACTATGCTGGAAACCTGCACCCCCGTGAAGCACTGCTGTCCTTCCTTTATTCCACTGGCACTTTTAGCTCAGCTCAGACTTGCTAGTTACATTAATCACCAGTTAATACAGAAGTCTGTGCAGTTTCCATCATGAAGTTGTATTCCAGAATAGGATAGGCTCTCTCTGGTCTTCCCCCTTCTGTTTTAAAGAGAAGAATAGGAATTGCTTATTCTGTCAAGCCAGCGAGATCCCAAATAAAAAGAATGCATATTATATTTGCATATAATTAAAATGGAGTAAGATTAAGCCATCGGAGCAGGAGCTGTTCAACGCATACATACAAAACCTGGTTCTGGAGCCAGCTCTATAAACTATGCAAAACAAGCCTTTAGTCTGCAAGCACTTTTAAATTAAGGCAGGAAAGACTGCAGCTTTTTATCAGGCTCGGGTCAACTGCTAATAGACAATTTATGAGCCCATAAAAATACTCAGGCGTCGACTGAGACTTTCCAGACGCTAAAAATAAATTTTAAAAAAGGAACAAAGTACTTAAAGTGCTTATCTATGCAAAGAAGCCTATATTTATGTAAAATAATATTCTGTCCCCAAGGTCTCCAGGGGAGGGAAACGAGTGCAGGGGCCCGGTTGGAAAACAAGGGCAGCCCCGAGCGCTGCTGGAGCCCGGTCCCCGCCGCAGGGGTTACCTATGGCCTGGCGGGCTCCCGTAGGCCGCCACCCGCTCCTCTTCCTCACAGCCCAGGGAGCTGGAGCGGGACGCGGGCGAGAGCGGCGAGCCTTCGGAGGGGCTGCGGGGGCGCTCGCCCTCAGTGGGCGGCGGACTGAGGAGTTCGGTTCCGGCGCTCCCGCGGCGCCGGGCGCTCATGGCGCGGGCCGCGGGCGGGAGGCGGCGGCGGTTACCGGCGGCGGCGCCCGGCCCGCGCCAACCGCGTCTCCCCCGGCCGCGCCCCTCGCGGCCCTGCCCGCCGGGCCCCGCCCCGCCGCACTTCCGCCCCGCCGGCCTGTACCGGGGAACCGACACCGGCTCAGAACCGGCGGCCCCTGATACGCTGTTGACCAGCGAGTCGAGTCCTCCCAGTACATGGGACGTGACGGAGACAGCCCGCTCCACGAGAGGCAGCAGGCCCGGGCGGAGATGCCTGCCTGGCCCACGGCATCTCCAGGGCTATCACTGACATGCGTGTGCTAATCTTACGCGAATTCTTCACATTTGTTCTTTCTTCCTCAACGTTGTTGCACGCGTACCCGTCCAATAAACAGGAACAAGTAACCTCATCTGCAGGTGACAATCCCAACGCATCAGAAAAAGGCATCTTAACATTTTCAAACAGCCAAGTGAAAATTTGTAATCCCTATTTGCGTTGAATTGCTAAATCCCATTTCAGTCCTCGCAATTACTATCTTGTTTCTGATTCAAAGTTCTAAAGACTTGGTTTTCATTCACCTCTGCTAGGAAAAGGGTGTCCTTGGTCTTCTCTATCAGTTAGTTCTCCACTGAATCTACAACTATCTGTAATAAATAGGTCAGGTTATATATCTATGTATCTCTATCCTTGCTTGCCACTACATTCTTTGTCAGCTTTCTATTTGGGTTCCAAATCCCAGGAACACAGTCCCCTCTTCACTGCTTACGCTGGGCCACCCTGACCCCCCCGCCTCTTTTAAGCCAAATCTTAAGCAGGATCAGCAACAAACATTTGCATTACCATAGCTTTTAATTACCTTCACATTTTATCAACCAAGGAGACAACTGCTGATCAGCAGTTGGTAAATTTTTACAAAACTTTGAGTGATTTTGCTGTGGCTGACTAAGCAGAAGCATTACTGATATTAACATGAGATACAGAAGTTCAAAAATCATTGTAAATTTGGCTGCTGTATTAATTCTTGTGTCTTGCTGTATTAGTTCTTGTGACGATTCTTCAGGTGAGTTTAACAAGAAATGCATTTTTAATTGGATAGGCAAGTTGAAAAGTAAGAAACAGTATTTAAAATGCTTTGTCTTAAGCAGGAAAGTCAATTGTGACATCTGAGGCAACTGATTTGCCATAAAAATTGAATTTCAGTAGCTGAATGATATAAAAAGGTCATCAAATCTATACAACCATTATGTACACCTAAACATCACCAAAAATGAGTGCTGTGAAGCAGGAGACATCTCAATGCCATCATTAACAGTCCTAAAAGATGCCTAAAATGATAATATTTGAAAATTTTAAGATGAGATGTTTGGTGCTTGGGCTGCAAACTGACAAACACCCAAATCTGTAATTGCTCTGACAAACAGCCTGCATCTCTATCTCTCAGGAGCATGTACTTCTCCCTCCCTTTGCTCACGGGACCCTTCACTGACCCACAAAACCTTACTAAAGTGGTAGAAAAATATCTGGGGAAACAACTTGTGGTCTGAGCAATCTAAAGCTCAGGGATGTTTCAAGCAACTGCTGAGGCCAAAACCAGGCAAGAGACAGGAATACACAGCCACAAACTAAGAGGAAGAGGCAGAGGTGAGGTCTAAGTGATTTGGGATTTCCATCCCTTTCAGTGGTGGAGCTTCTGCATTTGGCTTACCATTTCACAAGGAACTGCAGTTTTGACAGGTTGGAGAAATAACATTATGGTTCCTGTAAGAAAAGAACAAATGTTATTGCATCGCTGATCACCAGATAACCATACAGAACTGTTTTCCAGCAAGCTGAAAACCACAAAAAACGCCTGAAGACATCTCTGATCTAAGCACCCCCAGAATATTGAATACATCACTATGCACCAAATTGATGCTCATGATGCTTAAGTAACTCCATCCAGTGGTGGTAGATTGTTGAGCTGATTATCTTAAAATAAAGAATCAAGTATGATTAGCCACAATATCTAACAAAGTACACCTGTTGAAATAACTGAAGTTGATGGTTCACGTATTGGAGACAACAGAATGTCACTATAATCTAAATTTCATGCCAAGTAAAGTTACAAGAAGAAGAAAATTTCAATTTGGTGTGAATTCTTAGGATACAAGTTACACAATCCAATATCTCACCTTTGTTCAACAAAACCACCTATGGTTTTACAGGAACTTTTGTACACGTGCTGCATTCAGCTAAGAAATAAAAGCAGCATAAAAGTTGTTCACTCCATGGCTACCCAAGTACTGTGAGCAAAGCTCCACGTCATGGCAAGCAGGAAAACGTCAAGTATTTCAACAGACTGCAGACCAAGGTAATTTCAAAACATCTCAGGAAGGCTTGAAAACCTTCCTTGACCTTAAAGCTCATCTCATAGTGAAAACTGGCAACAATCATAAATGAGTAAGAAAAATGAAAAGCCCCATGTTGTCTCAGTAAATTGAGGAATTCTGGAACTCACTGCACTGGGCATCTCTCACTTTTAATGGAGGCCTACATCACCTGGAACGGCCAGAAACTATGGATGGCCAGAAATAGGTGTCTCAAGGTGAGGTAGCATCCATTTTGCCAAACACAAACATTTGAGCTTGCCTATTCCCTTCCTATCCTATTATACAGAATATGAGAATTTCTCTGCACTCAGGAGTAGCTGTTGGGCAAATAACTCATATTAACAAACCTTAGCATCAGGACGAGCTAGTGGAGTTTATGCATCAAGACTGCCCATAGAGAAGGTGGCAAAAGCCAGTTCACCCTTTGGGGAATTAAAGCATTACTGCTGAAATGGCAGAAGCATTCCAAGTCTGAAGAGATGTGAAAACATAAAATAATATTGTTAATATCCCTCTGACCATTCTGCCCAACTTGTCAAGCCAGCTCCACAGCCACTGTGCCCTAGTTAATGCAGGACAGGTATGAGCCCAAATAATGTAATTTTGTAAAAAAAATCATAATGACAATCCTGCAGGTTCAGGTACACAACTTCTATAGCCACAGAAGGACTGACAAGATTAATGGCATGTTGCAAGGACAGCAAAATCTTAATTCTGTGAACTGAATGCCAGAAGCAGCTGCCCTGGCAAGAATTACATGTCAACACTTCTAAAACCCATAGGCAAAATCAAACTGTCACAATGAAGTACAGAAGTTTGCAAAAAACTTAATGTAGTGAACAAATATATACACATACCCTTTATGGTTGATAGCAGTGTGAAAAATCATCCTAATTTCTCACTAAAACTACAAAAACTACATTCAGTCTTTCAGTGCTAGCTCACTGTCACAGACTATAGAATAAGCACTTAGAGCTATCTAGCAACAGAGAGTAAAATTCAGAGTAAAAATAGCATGATGTGTTCACAGACTTACACTTTCTGTCTGCATAGTCATGCAAATCAGCATGTCTGAACAACGAAATGCTCATGACAAATTTCTCACAAGTATTCCTTAATAGCCACCCACAGTATTTAAAAAAACATTTTACACATAAAATATCAAGAAAGAAATTCCTGAGGTAATGGACATAGAAAAGATTTATATTCTAGACACAAATCAACTACTCTGAATCACTAAGCACCTTGATTTGCCAACTCTTGTTTATGAAAGCATTCAGTTTTAGAAATTCAACTGTAATCTGATGAACTCAGTCTCTGAAAACACAAGAACCAGCAGAAAGAAACTTCTCAATTCAACTTGATGAATACTAGCCAGATTTAATGAAAAGAATGAGATCAGATTGCTTGCAGATGTCATGTCTAATTCCCCACTAGACATTAATGAACACAGAAGCATAAAAATAATCACATGGAGAAAAAAAAAATTACTACGTTTTGGGAGAAACAGAGGCTTAGACATCAAGCTTTAAGCTTGAAGAAAAGACTATTTTACTTGCAGCCTTGAAAAAAGTAGAATATTTGAACCAAATATGGTTGAATTCAAGTTTTCTTAAGTCTTCAGATTTTTCAGCATAAGGAAAAATAGTGTGGCAAGCACGGGAGTAAGGGAGAAAGCTACTTGACTCACACTCCATGTCAGAGCTCAAGGAACACTGTCTATACTTGTCTACTGGTTATTTTTGTGCCTGAATGTATAGTTCTGCTTGATTAGAGGCTGTGAAACCTGAGAGATGCTGGTGCTTCCCTTTCCTTCATGGTATGACGTATTCTCATCCTTACAGTATACAGCATATATTGCCAGTCCTAGCCCAGATTCTGCTGACTGCAGATGTGGAACCATCTGCTTTAAAGGGACAGAGCTTCGAGATAAGAATTTCTCTCATCTGGGGAAATGTGCAAGAACTCTATATAACACATTTAGTTTAAAATCACATCTTTGTGAATCACTAGCAGGATTCCCACTCAACCCAGCTGTTTCACGTTAGTTGGAGATCACAGCCTTCCTGCTTTTCAACAGCCTTCACTTCTTTAGCTAGTTTATAGTTCTGCATGAAGTCTTTTCTCTCTTTTAAAGCATCAGTTAGTAACAGATTTACTTGCTCATTTTTGGGCTGGAATTTTCAGAACACAGATTATGCTTTTGTTACTGGAAACCAGTAAACGCTTCGTATTACTTTTATCCTCAAATCAAAATTAGTTCCATAAAAGCAAACACCACAGTGACTGCTAACTAGTATTTAAGTAAAACCTAAACAATGTTATTTTATATTGGAATAGTGCCATAAGTGCAACATATAAATTATGTCCATTCACCTTCCAAGTTCTTACAGCATATAATGGTACAGGAATCAGTGATCTGTGATATATTATCCTATTTTAGATTTCATTTCCTTATTTATTGAATCATCTTCACCTGAAGTCTAGTTGTTAAATCAGACTCTACAGTACAACATGTGAAAGAAAATATTGAAAAAAATCTCCTGCTAAAATAAACTTATGCTAACAGTGAAAGATCAAAAGCATTTATGTAATTAAAAATTACTGAGAGTGCATATAAAACAAACTGT